AACAAGGGGGTACCTATTTTCTAGGTTGCTGTTTTCTATTTTCAAAGACGTGAAAATGATCAGGGAAAAACACATACTAAAAGCAAACCTGAAAAAACACAATTTCTAACAGTCAGTATTTGATGATGAACCAATGTAATCCCTAAAAGTGGCATTATGCTAGCACACAATCTAAATACTCATGCTGAGTATTACTTTCATGAACCAGTAGCCTTTTGTCTAAAATTTCATGTTTGCCAATGTGACTCCTGTCAAAAAACTTATTTCTTCTAATATACATATTTAAAATAAAATTTCTGAAAAATTTAAATGTTAATTTAGCAGAGATTAAAAGAAATTCCTAAAGGAAGAAAAAAGAAACAGAATACTTAACTGGGGGTGGGAACGGAAGGAAAAAACTGAGAGAGTGAAGGGCTGACACTGTTCAAAAAGAAATGTTCTCATTTTCTGACTTAGGTAACCATAACCTCTACGGTACATCACTTTTTCAATAACAATAAATAGATTTTTTTAAAGACATTAATGAATTTGACTGCTTTTAATTACGGCCTCTAGTTTTGATAAAAATTTAAATAGTTCCATTGGAAAGCATCACCTCTAGTGAGTTCAGCATACCCTCAAAAGCTCTTAAAGGAGTTAACTGTCCCAATATAGTATACTATAGGCTCTAGGTAGACAGTTTGAGTTTTAATTAATTGAACAAAACTACCTCTGAAAAAACTATCTTCTGTTCAAGTATTTAGAGAAAATTAAACTGTGATTTTTCATACTTACAATGTGATTTTCCATTTTATAACTCTAAATAAGCATTTAAATAAACCATGTTTTACATAACAAGTATTAAAGAGAAAAAACAATGCAGAAGAAAACAGAAAGTAGTAAAAGAAAGGAATTTACTATTGTCATGAAAAAGAAAAATTTAACAGAAAAACGTGGTATTTGAGCAAAGATCTGAATGAAATCAAAGAAATCAAAAAAACAAAAACAAAAACACCCCAGACAGTCAAAACACTGAACCAGTTGTGTTCCAAGAAAACAAAAGGCCCGCATGGATCAACAGGTGAGCAAGAAATATATAATGTGAAGTGATATGAAAAAGGGCATGCCAACAGTCTATAGGTCTCTGTGAAGATTTAGTTTCCCATGGAGAAGACGGCAAATCCATGGAGATTACAATGAGAAGAGTATCATACGATATTTCCTTTAGAAGGATGATTTAGCTGTTTAGTTGATGACAGATTGAAATGAAATAGACTGAAAGTGGGAGATGAAGTGACTCCTGTAATAGTGAAGTAAGAGTGGTTGTTGGCCTAGATCTGCTATAGCAGATTTGGAAAATGAACAATATTGATTTGTTGATGGATTGGGTATGAAAAAAAATAAAATAAGGAATACTATAAAGGAGCGAAGGTAAGAATGGATTATAAATAGCTAAAGAGAGGAAGCCAAGAAATAAAGATTTGGTGTCAAGGAACAGAAAAAAGATCATGACCTCAGCTTTGAATATGTTTCCCCATAAATGTCTAGTCATCTTCCACATAGTTAATGATTATTAATAGGCAGAGCTCAGTAGTATTGGGATGGAAGTAGACCTGGAATGCCACAAGATATAAATTTAGCCTAACGGCAATGGAATCAGTATATATGAGTGTCCCAATGAAATGCTGATATCTAAAGATTATGTAGCTATAACATATTGATCTTAAAAATAATATCCCATACAAAGTGCACAATAGGAACACTACAAAGTAAAGTGGTCTCCGGAAAATAACTAAAGTTTAGATATGCATTTCCTACTGCTTATCCTCTAAGCCGAAGTAGGGAATCTTTTTCTACCAAGGGTCTTTTGGATATTTGTAACATCAGTCATAGGCCATACAAAATTATCGATACAGGAAGACAGCTACAGGCAGTGGATGGGAAGGGTGCATGTTTATCTTTCCAAGTACCAAATGATTTCTCAGTCCTTAAACACCCAAAGGGGTCCAGATTTTACTCATCCCTTCTCTAAGGGAAGAAAGAGACTTAAATACCAAAATGTAATCTTCCTTAGATTTTCACCAAAGCACCGCTGCTACTAGAAGCTCTATGCTTTTTGGCTTGAATCATAAAAAGTATTTCCATCTCTACTATATGCCAGGCACTATGCAAACTGCTAAGTAGATAGGAATGAATAAAACACAGATAACTGCTTCATTTGAGGATAGATAAGTAAACAAATGAGTATACAAGTATAAATTGTGGTGAGCATCAGGAGAAAAGAAATAAGGGGAAGGGGTGAATTTATTCTCCAAATGATCAAACAAGGATGTAACATTTAGCAAGCTAAAAATCTCTTTAATTTTTTCTTAACCGTTACATAATTACCATATAAACCTCCTCCTTCTCCCTACTCTTTTGTGCTGATACTGGGACTTAAAATTAGTATCTGAGTACCATCTATTAGCTTTTCTGCTCAAGGCTCATGCTCTACAATTTGAGTCAAAGCTTCATTTCTGGCTTTTTGGTGGTTCATTAGAATAAGAGACTTCTGGGTTTGTGTGCCTGGACTGGCTTCAAACCAGGATCCTCAGATCTTAGCCTCCCAAGTAACTAGGAATACAGGAATGAGTCACCTCAGCAAGCAAGCTTCTCCGTCACCTTAATCTTCAATATGTTAAATATGAGGACCGCTATATCAATAGATACTAAAAATATTGTTTATTTTTTCTAAGTATCCCATGGATAACTTATAGTTATTCATCAGGAAAATTTTTTCCAGATTTTACATTTTAGAAATGTCTAATTTGTATTGACACAAATTCCCAAAACATTATTTACAATAAAGAAAAGAATATACTAAAAACCTGTCTTAACAGTTGAAGAACTGGCAATAAGGAACTTAGCAAAGTTTATCTCATTAAAACATTTTCAGTAGTATTCCTGTTTCACCTACCAGTAACCTAAAGTGGAATAGTCTCACTCTGAATGGCAAATAATGCAATGTGTAATAAGCCAAGTTAACAAAGTTAATATCCCACTTTACTTTTCAGACAATTGTATTCAGAGTAACTACCGAACAGGAAGAAAAATGTTTCTTTGGTTAAAGATGAAATGAGTTAGAGAGACATATTACCAGTAAATGAAATGCCCAACAATCCAAAAATTCATATGGAACAATAAAAGACCCCGAATAGCAAAAACACTCCTCAACGGAAAGAACACTGCTGGAGGAATATCAATACCAAACTTCAAACTCTACTACAAAGCCATAGTAATCAAAACAGCTTGGTATTGGCATAAGAACAGACCTCAGGACCAATGGAATAGAATTGAAAACCCAG